CATGCAAGTCAGGCTATGAGCACTGAAAATTTTCCTTTTTTGGGTCCAAGAAATGGTCCAGTTTTGGAAAAGATGGAATAATTTTCGAGGGATCAGTCAACCTCAGTAAAAATTCTCAAAAACTATTTTTGCACACGGCCAATGCTTAACAAGCACGGCAGGAGTTTAGTTTTGTACAATTGAACATGTAACGAATTAAAAATAGGCACATAACATACTATATTATTTTGGGTCAAATTAGAAGAAAATTTGTAAGGGTTTCAAACATCCTCCTTTCTAAAAAGGGAAAATCTAAAAATACTTATTTTCGTAATTATTTTTAAAATTTTCAAAAAATATTTTAACACAAATAAAACAATAAATATTGTTCTTATAGTGGAGTTTTTTTTATATTGAATTAGTGTTAGTTTTTGTTAATTTTGTCGTGGCCATATCCCCATTTTTTTTGAAATCACCATGTTTGTGTCTGTGTCCGTATCCATGTCCATGCTTCTTAGATGCAACGTTTGCAAGCTCCTACCGATGATAGTGATGCTTCCGAATATACCAAGAAAACTCACCGTTCTTTTGAGAATTCTCTTGGTGCTCCACAAAGGTACCAAGCAAATTCAGAATGTTACGAGTACAAATGGAGATCAACATTAAAAGGGCCCAAATCTTGGCCCGAACATTATAATGCTTTTTGCAGTGGGCCACTACAACCACTACAGCCAGCCGTAAGAAATTGGGCCAATACTATGGGCAGAGTCAGTCGAGCCCAAGTGTCCAAACCTTCCAGATATTTTGCCGAAAGCAAGTCAAAGTGAAAAAAGATCCAACAGGTTGGTCATATAGATCCAATAGGTTTTCTGATCATCATTTATTTAATTTGGGCCACACACTAATAAGTCTTATATATGTGTCTTATTTGGTGAACTTGTTAAAACAGATTATAAATTATAATTTTAATCAAAAATTGTTAATTAATTTAGTATAACTGTTGGATTATAGATTTAAGTTGCTGAGTAGTGTCTGTTAAATAAGCTATGAAGTAGCTTTTTCAATTAACTTTTATTTTTTATTATTCACTATTTGATAAGCTATGAAGTAGCTTTTTCAATTAACTTTTATTTTTTATTATTCACTATTTGTCTACATTTCTCATAAAAAATAATAATAATATTTCATAGTCCATTTGTATCTTTTTCTATTTTTAAAAAAATAAAAAATAAAAAAAACTAAGAGTATAACCTTGAATTAACATGTCCACAGCAAAAGCTAATAATCAGAAGCAAGGGGTGAGCAGTTTTTCAGAATCAGCTTTTTTGACTTAAAATAAGTTGCTAGAATCAGAAGCTGTTTGAAATAAATTTAACTAAATAGTCCAAAATAACTTTTTAAAAATCAGAAGGCATAAGTTGGCTCAAAAAAGCCCCACCAAACACCCCCATAAAGGGGTTGTTTAGAATGTTTTAAATAAGTATACTTTTTAATTTTTTAGTAAAAAAAGTAGAGAATAAAAAGATGTATGTTTGGAATAACTTTTTGACTTTTTACGAAAAAATATGTATTAAAATATTGTAACAAATAACAAAATTACCAAATTACCCTTCTTGACACAGTCAATGTTGTTGCACTGACTTTCTCTCTCCTTTCATTTTTTTTTTAATGGGTTTACATTGTGCCACGTTTTGCACTTTTATGGGAAATTGCGGTTGCTGTAAAATAGGTTGCACAGCCTGAACTGTTTTCTCTTTTTTTTTTTTTTTTTTTTTTTTTTGATCCGACAGATTTCCCACCAAAATATAGGTGAATTGTGTTAACTTTTTTGTTTTTTTAATAACTTTTTGACTTTTACAGCGTATGCCAAACCAGCCCAAAGTTTAAAATCCATCTAGTCGCAAAACAAAACACTTGCACCGATTAGTTTTACATATTTTTAATTGTTACCATTTTTTTAAAAAAAAAAACTTAAAAAAACGCTGCTATATTCTACCACTATCGGACTTCCGTCAGATGGTTATTGGAGACTTGTCGAAAGTTTGACGGAGTATCGCCGGAGTGTTCTGAACATCATTGGAAGTCGCCAGAATGTTCAAAAGCTTCGTTGAACGTCAAGAACATCATCGGAGACTCACTGGAATGTCTAGAATATTACTAGCAATATATATATATATATATATAAAGAATAAATGGAGAAATTATAGTGACAAAATATAGCAAAATATGCTAAATATTGATAAATCGAAAGCAAAAAAAATATAAAATAAAAAATAACAAAAAATAATGGGAAAAAGTATATATTATTTTTTAATTTTTTGTAAGGTTTAAACAAATAATCTCCAATATTGATTAAACTGAAAAGTAAGCTTTAAAATTGTAAATGTTACAATTTCAAAGTATGATTCTATTAAGCATTCATTTTTATTAATCAAATTAGAAAACATGTTATGAATTTGTAAAATTTTACAGTTTTAAAGCATGATTTATTTCGCCATCAAAAAAATTGAAAATGTAAAATTTTATAGTTTTCATCGCCTGTAACTAAAACTTAAAAACAATTTGTTTAGAATTTGAAAATTTTCTCCATTAAAATAAGAAAATAGAAGTGTGCAGTAGAGAAAAGTTAGAAAAATTGAGAAATTGGAGGAAAGAAACAGATATAAAGAGAATATTGTACTTCGGCAACTATTTTTTATTTAAACCTAGTCGGATCCCATGTAGATTTACTAGGATCTGAGTAGATCTACTCATATTTTTTCGCTAGAAACTCGTCTCTTTCGCAGTCGGTGATGGTGAAGTTAGGAGTCAATGATTGGTGATTATCGGTGAACCCCAAGTAATGGTAGTCGTTAGTGATTATATATTAGAAAGAGAGAGAAAGAGAAGAAGTTAGAAATGGTTGCTGCTCATCGAAAATCAGGAAGAGAAAGAGAGAAAGAAGAACAAATGTATGAAAAGAATAAAGAAGAAAACTAGGTACTAAACTTTTAAAAGTATTCAAAAAGTTATGGGACTAAATAGACTTATCCTCTTTTAAGTAGTACTTCCAACTAATTTGCCCATATAATTTTCGGTGTCAGATCATGAATATTCTATGAAGAAACTTAAAAAAATAGAAAACAAAAGCAAAAGACTAGAAAGTTTTCACATGTTCAAGAGCTACTTAAGATACACAGTTGGTTGGCATAACACAAAAGCCTCAAACCTATCATTTACAATAGCATGACAAAAGGAAAATGATAAAATACATCGAAAGGAGAAAAAAAAGACCGACGAGGCTAAAAACTAAACATGGTAGATCATCCCGACCTCTAGAGTGGATGCATAAGGAACACTCAAAGCATATGTTGGAACCCTAGAGTTCCTCCTCAAGAAATCATACCCAAAATTAATGACAACTCTTTTAATCAAACTTGAACCCCTCTTTGCCCTCACATAACAATGCCCCAAAATAAACGCCATCCCTGCCTCCCTTGCCTCCATCAACTCCTGCAACTCCTCTCGTGCGCTCACATCGATCCGAGGACTTTCCGGCACAAGAAACCTCACTCTCCTCCTTGGCATCTCCGGAGACTTTATCTCCCTCAATTCAAAAGTATCAGACATTTCAGAAAAATCTTCATCTCCATCTCCATCACCTTCAAACATCCTTATTCCTTCTAAATTTGTTAATGCCGTTCCAACAACCGTCATTCTTTCATCGTTGTGCAAATCTTCTCTCCCCACATTGTTTTCCGTCCTTTCTGACCGAATAAATTCAGCAATACTACATACCAAGTCCTTTTCAAACTCCACATCATCTTTGTGAATATCGCGATAACCGTACCGTGCTATGCACCTATAAATTCGGTACTCTTTTGGGCCGATTCTTCCCACTAAGAACCTTTCCTCGGGTCTTACGTGAGGTACTGGGACGGATTTGATGCACAGGAAGATTAAAACTTGGTGAAAAGCTGGGAGGTTGGTGACGAAATGGGAGAAAATTGCTGGGATCCCTGACACGAGCTCTGTCTGTACGAGGCCAATGCCACGGACCCTCACAAACCCGAGATTAGGGCCCAGAGTTAGCAGCCAGTTGATAGAAACCTTGTTTTGAACATCGAATTCGTATTTCTTGATAGTGCCGTAGTGCCAAACGTACATGATTATTAGAAAGATGAACGAGAGAGCAACGGGCACCCATGCCCCTTCGAGGAATTTGATGAGTGAAGCTGAGAAGTATAGTGCTTCTACAGAACCAAAGAAGAATATAAAGCAAATGGCTAGAAAAACACTTTTGTGCCAGCACAAGACAATAACCAGAGACATTAGGCAGGTGGTTACCAACATAACAGTTATAACTGCCAAACCTGTTCCAGAAAGGAAGAAGAAATTGTAATAATGGTCATGATTATACACTGATAATTCACGAAAAAACAACCAATTTAGTAATTCCATTCCAACATTGAGGTATTTTACCTGATGCATTGCTTATGTGTTTTGTGTTTCTGAAACCGACAGTAACGGCCAAACATAGTATCATTAAAGTCCAGTTAATCTCAGGAATGTAAATCTGGCCATGTATTTTAGACGATGTGTGTACTATTTTGACCCTCGGGAAGCAACCCAGAGCAGAGCACTGTTTGATGATGGAGAAAGTTCCAGTGATGATGGCCTGGCTTCCCACAACTGCTGCGAGTATGGCTATTGCCATAACAGGCCATCGGATTTTCTCTGAAAAAAAGAACACTTACATTAGCTGAAACTCAACTTAAAATTCTTGGATTTGTTGCGTCTACAAAAAATAAAAAATGTATATACAATATAAAAGGAACAACAATTAGTACCTACCAGGTACTGACACATAGAATCCAATCCGGTAGTCACTTTCAATAACATGATGCTTGGAAAGATAAGCAGCTTGCCCCATATACGCTAGGATCAAAGACGGGTAAACCACAAAGGTGAAAGCAATCTGCAGTTAACTCTCTGTTATAGGGCAGTCATTTGACAAATTGATGAATGGCTGTACATAGAATATAACTTCTAGAAATCTAAAACTTTGCATACTAGGATTGCATTAAATCAACTCATTCACAATGATGGAAAGATTATGATAATAATGACATGGCTTAAAGGCATAGTGAAATCTTTACAAGATAAAAATAACTAACCAAATAACTGTCTCCTTTTTTTATTATTATTTAGTGATGACAACAATAAAGAACTAATGCAACTAGAAGACATAAACTGATTACCTTGATAGATAACTGTGAAAAGTGTCCAAGATCAGCAAACATAGCTTCTGAGCCTGAATTAAAATAAAATAAGTAAATGTAGCATAAGAAAATGTGCGTATTGGACAAAGGGCAAGAGTACAAAGTTCATTTTACTCTTTTACCTGTTATACACAACAAAATCCCACCCAAGGACATCCAACCTCCCCTTTGAGTCTTCTTCAAAAACTTGTACATGTAATAAGGAGAGAGCGCTTTGTAAACATGGGGGTTCCAGTGGACGATATTGTATACACCAATGGCGCTGATGCATAATAGCCATGTTATCACAACGGGTGCAAAAAGAAATCCTATTCTGTGGGTCCCGTAATGTTGGAGCGCAAACAAGAATACCAGTATGATACATGTAACCGGGACTTCTACATCTGCAGAATCGATTTGACCACAACTAAGATAACGAACTTCATATGAGTAATCATCAACTACAATGCTTTAAAAAATAAAAATAAAAATAAAAATAAAAATGATCCACTATAGTGATTTGGACAGTAACAATTGTGGCAAAGCTTTGCTGATGCATATATTGTCTACTTATCAACCGATTGAAAGATGTGTTTACCTCGACAGGGACTGAAATCATCATTACAACATAATGACCAGTCTAATGATGGCTATGCTTCTTGACATCACTTGGGAATTCAGTTGGACAACTATACAAAATTACCTTCTCTAAATTTTATTGTTACCTTCTACAAAGGTACAATGTTTTGTGCTTAGGACTCATTTGAAAAGTAATAATTTTAATTTAAAAGTCAAAAAGTTACTAAAAAAATAAAATAACTTATAATTTATATGAAAAAATCAAAGATTCTTTTTTTTCTCTTTACTTTTTATACATCATTTCATAAAAAATTCAAAAGTTATTCCAAATATATAAATTTTTTTACTTCATATTTTAATCAAAAAAAATTAAAAAATTACTAAAATAATCTATTCATGAACGCCTTAATCTAGTAATCTATATTTTACTTATTCTTAATCTCAAGTTACGTCTTTATTTTATTATAAGTAGGATGCTATCAACTTTTGTCTGCCACATACTGACGACTTTATATGTTTGATAGCGATTTGACTTTGATTAACACACGGGATTTATCTGTACTATATACTAAATTTTTAACACCAAATTTTGTGGGAGTTTTAATCTAAATTTTTAATTTTTTTTTTTAACATTTATTAACTTCTCCCAACCCCAAGTTTTACCCTCATAATAACACTTTAATACATTAAGAACAAATATAAAAAAAAATTCTTTGAAATCCAACACATATGAATTCCTTGAAAAGTTTCAACACATATGATTATTATCAAAATATTAAATTTTAATATAATATAATAAATAAAAAAGACATTTAATTTCTTGAAAAGTCTAACACATATGATTATTGTCAAAATATTAAACTTTAATATAATATAAAAAAGGGAAAAAAGATGGCATTTAAAAAAAAAGAAAAAAAAAAAGACATTTAAAAATTACAATTCACATATATAGATAATTGCAAACACAATCAGTGCATAGCACGGGTGATATGCTAGTATATATTAAGAAAAAGAGGGTTTCTAACTCCCAAATCTTGTGGGAACTTCAATCTCTCAATCTCAATTTTCTAAATTTTTTATTTAAAAAAAAGGGTAATGCTAGGGACACCAATTTTTCTACCAAATAAATGACCAAATGTCTCACATGGGTGTGGGGTCCGCAATCCCACACCCATGTGAGACATTTGGTCATTTATTTGGTAGAAAATTTGAGATCTCTAACATTTTCTCAAAAAAAAATCTCAGCATTTATTGATTTGATCAAAATCCCCTAATCAATATTTATTAACTTTTTCCAATCCACATGTCTTTTCACATGCCTGCATTTATTGATTTGGTTAAAATCCCTGATCAGCATTTAAAATCACCTTATACAAATAATTATAGATACAATCCGTGCATAGTTACTGTAGTAGCTTTTTCAATTTTTCATATACATTATGATTAGTGATAAGATTGTTAAATTATTTTTATAAAAAAAATTTTAAAACATAATTTATATATTAAAAAAAATTAAAACAAATATGAATATTTATAATTATTTTGTACATATAACACGGTGATAAGCTAGTTTAATAATATTTGAAAGGACCCACAATAATGCAATGTTTTTACACTTGGGTGCTCTCTTTGTCCACCAGCTGCATCTCTACAGCAAGAGCTTTCTAGATTACAATAACAATAAAATCAAGATAACGATGCCTAACCATGATATGCATCATTTCACATCGTATATATACTGAGCAAATGCTAAGAACTTGTCTTGATTATACTTCAAGCAATCAAGAAAAACGGAACATAAAGGCCTTGGTTTGTGTTTGTAGAGTAATTTTTAGATAAAAAGTATGAAAATTTATTTGATTTGTTTTTTTTTTAGAAATGATTTTAAAAAATTATTTTGGAGAGAGCGTTTTAAAAAAAGTCAAAAATTTTTCTGAAAAACAAACTAAACAAGGCGAAAATCTTTTTCATTTCCACACCTTACCGTGCCCATCTCTAACCAACATATCCTGCTTTCCATCCTTACAGCTGAAGTTGCTAAAAGCTTTCAAAAATCAATTACTTAATTGACAAAGTTATTAAGATATTTTTAACCCAATCACCTGGACGATTCATGACTTCCCAATCCGGTTGTGTAATCAATATCAAATTATCTTCTTCAAACATTATAATCAATTTATAATACCAAAGAGTCTAATAGGTAAGAGTCTTACATTGATGATGCTCTTTTGACATGGAAAGCTCTAGCCCCGAAACAGCAGAAAACACTGCACAAACAACAAAATCAAACAAGTTTTAGTAATCAAGATCCCAATTTTCCACATTTTGATAACACAATAACATAATCTCATCTCCAATACCAGAAATTGCCGGCGTAAGGACTCCATCCCCAATCACCATACAAGTTCCAATCAAAGCCAAAGCAAGCAATACCCATTGAAGTACTCTATGCCTCTCCAATGTCGATCGTAGACTCGAGCCAAGACTCTTATCTGCAGATACAATTCCATCCTTCTTGTACTCAGATAAGTCCTCATCAGCAAGCTGGCAATTGGGCAAAGTACTGACTCGGGCGTGGCGGCATAGCAATGAATACAAAGCAAAAGTGCCTCCTTCGCCATTATCATCAGCTCTAAGCACTATAAACACATATTTAAGGAGTGGGATGAGAGTTACTGTCCAGAACACAAAAGACAAAACCCCATATATCTCCTCGTTAGACTCCGAATGCTGAATGTCTTCTGCAAAAGTGCTTTTGTATACATACAAAGGTGAAGTGCTTAAATCTCCATATACAACCCCCAAGCTCTGATAGGCCAGAGTCAACACTGTCCTCCATGATTCCTTCTGCAACAAAAAACAGAACAAGATTATCAGAAAACGCTTGTGACTTGAAGACGGGTCTTACAATACCCAAGTGCCACGTGTCTCACCTTGATTGGATTGTCACGGTTCCATCCTTCAAGATCCATAACAGGCTGCCCCAGAACCATGAAAACCCAATTTTTGCATCAATTTGAAGAAAAACAACGATGACCCAGATGGGTGAACACCTTACCCAGTTCAAATAATCCAAGGAAAATACGAAATTCAAGATAAAAATACGAGAAGGGTAAAAAGAAATTCAACAATCTACCAATGGTGACATCTCAAGAAGAAACAAAGAACACCACAAGAAAATACAAAGAGAGAAATGCAGAACGAGGAAGGGTGGTTGGAATTGTGTGCTATAGAATATAAAATATTGTGCGAGCGAATGTGCTTGGGTGTATGCAAATGAGAGAGAGAGAGAGAGAGAGAGAGAGAGAGATTTTGTTTGGTGTTTGTGAGTAAAATAAGAGAGGGACGGGGATTTTGGGTTCTCTTCCACTTTCTCCTCCTATCTATGGCTTTTTTTTCTGAATAAAATATATTAGTAGGTTATCTTGATAACTTTGGCTCTGTGTGTGAAGAAGAAAAAAAAAGGTATAGATGTGCCGAAGCACTAACTCATAATTCTTTAACATATAGCACAGACCACTGAAAGCAACAGTTCGTATCCAAGAAAAAAAAGGTGACTCAGTAATTTCATTTGTTGGGAGTAATTTCAATTTTTGAAAATTTTTAGAGACAAATTTAGATGTATTTAAACATTAAAAATATTTGTAAAGAAATTTGGAAAAAAAAATTTACCAAAAAAATAGAAATCTGAAACAATTTTTGAGTTTGAAAACAAAACAAAGATTTACAGGCTTCGACTGAAACATAGTACACTATATTTCACAGATTCAGAATATAGCTATGCAAAGCTCAAATTTTGTTTTTTTGTCTTTGTCTCACTTTGGGATGCCAAAGCAGCTCATTATTGCCAACCATACAAGGTTGCACAAGGCAACTTCTACATATGCTGCAATTAATTATGGAAAGCTAAGGGCGGAAATCTTTCAAAGTATCCTACGCCAGCTAAGGGGTAGTGCCAGAAAAACGGTGGAACAAGTCTATGGTTACAGTGACCCCATCATCATCATCAACAACAACCACCCCACTCTCCTAAATGTGTGTGGTACCTTCTTTCTTTGTAAAGATGAAACAGACACTGACCCATTCAAGCCATTTCAGCTAGCCACACAACCCAAACCCCAATGATTGAACTCAAGACCAAAGAATTAGTCTTCAACAGTGTATATTTAAGCTTTAAAAATGGAATATTCCTCGATTTAAAGCAATTCTATGCTTTATATTCAAGCCTATGTTTGGAATGATTTTCAAATTATATTTCTATCCCCACATTTTAACATGATGAGTTGTTTTGAAAAGTTGGTAAAAGGTTGATTTTTAACTTTTTATCAAGTTTTTTGACTTTTTTAGAAGTGATTTGAGAAGTTGGTAAAAAGTTAGCTTTTTACTTTTTAGTTTAATATTTATTTATGGTGTCAAATCAAATTAAAATGACCAAAATACCCTTACCAAACATAAGAGATTTATTTTTTTATTTTTTTTTCATAGGCCCTAATTTGTAATTTTAGGGCTGTGTTTTTGGCACTTCCCAAAGGGATTTTGTTACGTTTTTGGCAGCCGCGTTTTTGGATGTTCCCAAAATGGCACGATGTTTGGATACCACACTCAAATCACATTTTCACAACATTTACAAAACTCTGCACAAAACTCTGTCTGAGGAACAATTTTTAATTTTTATTTTTTTTTTAAATTTGGTCTAACTGGTCGTCCCACCGGTTGACCGGAACGGCGCAATTTTTTTTTTTTTGCAATTGACATATGTTAATTTTTGTATATTCGAAAAAAAATATTTTCTGAATTTTTAATTTTTTTTATGTGCTTTAATAGAATTTTGAGTTGTATGTTTGGTTATGAGTTGTAAGTTTTTGTATCAAATATTATATTTCATATCAAAAATTTTCCATTCAATTCAAAACTCTTTCACCAAATAAATTTTTCACACTTAAATCATAATTCTAAAACTCACGAACTGAAAATACAACTCATACTCTCAAATCATACTTACAAAACTCTATTAAATGCAACCTGAAATTATGGCACCATGTTACCAAAAAAAAAAAAAAAAATTCATAATACTCCTAAAAATGTGTGTACGTAATTTTTGAAAAATAATACATGCATTTTATTAAATATCTATTTATTATAAAAGCGTTGTTTTTGCATTTACCCTCCGTTTGAGAAGTGGGTTGACTTTTTGACTTTTTGGTTATTTTAGCCTGGGGCTAAAAAGCCTGGTTTGGGAAGGATTTTTTGACTTTTTGATTTTTTTGACTTTTTTTGTGAGAGAGGAGTGTAATGATTATGGATTAGATTTGATATTTTATTTTTTGTGACTAAAATAGCCTATTTTATTTTTTCTGACTATTTTAACCCCTAACCCACCAAAACTAACTCCCCAAACTATGCCTTACAAGTGACATAAATTTTAATAATGTGAAGTGTACACTTTTATATGACATTTTGCCCATTTTAAGAGATGTTGGTGTTTATTGTACCAAGATGATTTGCGTTTTACTAGTAAGCTCAACTGAGTTCACTCGCCTACTACATTGTTCATATAATAATTTAATTAAGGGTTTGGTTATGGTGTGCAACTTACACCTTACACCTTATACCTTACACTTACACCTTACACTTACACCTTTTGTGAGTTCACTCCCCTACTACATTGTTCATATAATAATTTAATTAAATAAAAAAAAAAAAACAAGTACTTTATAAGAGAGAGTAGAGATGGGACCCAATAATTTTTCGTAGAGATGAGATCAGAAAATCTGCTTATGAGGTATATTTATTTCTAACTCGGCATTTAATAATTTGGCAGCACATTGAAAAAATTGACAGCAACAACATTAATGACGACGATGATGGAAGCCAATCGCCATTATTGGGTTGTGGAGAGGAGTAAAGCATGTGTCCGATATAGAAAAATATACTCCCTCCGTCCCAAAATAATGGTCCCTTTTGGGGAATCCAACTTTTTTTGGTAGTATAATTATTGCATTTGAAAAAAGTTGATTTTCCAAAATTACCCTTTTGATAGTACATTTTTTGGGAATATCAATGTCATAATTGTACTTTTTATATTGTTTATTAATTTAAAAGAAGGGCAAAATAGGAAATTTACATTATTTTTGTACTTGATTTTTGAAGAGAGGCTAATATTTTGGGACAATGAAAAATGGAATAAGGGACTAATATTTTGGGACGGAGGGAGTATTATTTATTTATTATGAATTTTTATTTTATAAATAATTCTTACTAATAAGTGTCTTAAGATGTGAAAATAAAAGAAAAAAATATTTAATTCTCAGAAATTTATTGTTAAATTTAATATATATTTTTATAAATTTTAAAACATTTTTTTGATTATTTATATTTTTTAAAAATAATTTCTCTCACATCCCCAATAGTAACATTTGTCTTTTGAAAATTATTTCAAATGTAAAGTGAATAATATAAATGTAAAATTATTGAAATATGAATTACAACCAAAATAATTATGATACATAAATGTTTTGAATATTTTTTATATTGTAAATATATTAGCGTATGCTCGTGCCTGAAGGTATGGTGTAAATAATGTTAGGATTAAAATATAATTATAATCCTAACACTATTTAAATTTATTTTTTAATTTGATAAAATCAAAAAATTATTATAAAATTTTGGAGTTCTCACAAAATTCCTTACGAAACTCGTTTTTGTTTATATAATATATAACTAGATAGATAAATGCGCCTAGCATATATACAATTTTTACGGGCTCTCTACCGGGACTGATTTTTTATATTGTAAATATATTAGCGTATGCTCGTGCCTGAAGGTATGGTGTAAATAATGTTAGGATTAAAATATAGTTATAATCCTAACACTATTTAAATTTATTTTTTAATTTGATAAAATCAAAAAATTATTATAAAATTTTGGAGTTCTCACAAAATTCCTTACGAAACTCGTTTTTGTTTATATAATATATAACTAGATAGATAAATGCGCCTAGCATATATACAATTTTTACGGGCATACATACAATAGTGCTTTTACTTATATAATTATATGGAAATTGTATGTATGCTTGTAATGTCCTAGTGTATTACGGTCAAACAATCATCATATAGAAATATGTGTAAAATATATTGAACAAAAAGAAGAAAATAAAATAAAAAAAACAAATAGAGAGAAAAATAAAAACGGAAGAAAATAAAAAAAAATAAAAAGAAAAGAGAAATGAAGGTGAGATCATGGGATCAGGGAAGGAAATATGAGTGAAAAAAAGAAAAAGTAAGCGAGAGAGAAGAGGAAAGTAGAAAATGTATATATAGGAAATTTTTTGTAAATTATATCTCAGCCATTGTTTTATAATTTAAACAAATTCGAGCCATCCAATGTCCTAATAGGATAAAAATATGTTGAAGATTCAAAAACCGTCATGTTTTATTAAAATATGTTGAAGATTCATATGAGGTTTAAATTTATAAAGTTTATCAGGCACTACACACAGTAAAATTTGACTCCTAATTCTGGGATCGTAGACTTTTCCATATAATATGAATAAAAATAATTGAACAAAAATGAGAAAATAAAAAAAATAAACAAATATAGAGAAAAATAAAAATAGGAGAAAATAAAAAAATAAAAAAATAAAAAGAAAAGAGAGATAAAGGTGGGATCATGAATCTTAGAAGGATGTGTGAGAAAAAGAAAAAGTAAGAGAGAGAAGCGAAAAAATAGAAAATGTACATGTAAGATATTTTTTGAAAAATATATCTCAGCCGTTAATAATTTAAATAGATTTGAGCCATCTAAATGTCCTAGTAGGACAAATTCAAAAATCATCATGCTTTACTATATAGATAATATTACGAAAAGCTTAAGGTGTGCCCTCCTTACGAGTGCATACTATATGCAACCTATCATAAATTGACGGAATTATTATAAAATTTTATAATATCAATCACAAAATACGTAATCTTATCACAAATTGACGTAATAAAAAATATCGTAATCAATTCATAAATTTTTGTAATATCAATAACAAAATTTCAAATATTTTATTATGTTAATTTATGATACAATTGCACTCCTTTTTTTTTTTTGATATTATAAAATTTCATGATACCATTATACTAATTTAGGATAGGATACCATAGACTTTCCCATAGTATTATCATAATATGATTGCTCCATATATACCAGAATGTTCGGGCAACAACTTATTTATGCAATCAAGCAGGCAGGCACAAAAAATAAAATCCCTCTCACCTCAAGGGCTTTGCTTGCATTAGTGGATTTCCACTTTCCACTAATGGTTGCTGTCCATTCCTTTGCCCCCCATCACTTTTCTTTCTTCTTCTTTTGTTTTATTTTTTAAATTTAATCATTGTGTTTGATTTTAATTTTTTAAATTTAATTTTTTAAAAATTAATTTTTTTATTTTTTTATATATTTTTGTTTTTAGTGAATAATTTTTAAATTTTAATCAATTTTTTTGACATTTTTAGAAGCACCTTAAATGTATTTAAAAAGTAAAATATTTATAAAATAATATTTTAAAAAATCAATAAATACACAAGAATATAAAAAATATATTG